CCCCAAAACCCCAAAACCCCAAAACCCCAAAACCCCAAAACCCCATTAGAATCTGAATCTAGCATTAAATAAATAATATTTCTCTTAGCGAATTATGTTCAGTGAAGTAAAAGATGATGATCAGAAAAGTAATTCAAGCAGCGACTTGAGTGATGAAGTAGATGATGTACTTGGTGAACCTATTCCAGAAGTGCAACCCTCTACTGCTGAAAAGGAAGACATGAATAATTTTGAAGTAGATGGAGGAAATTTACCACAACAAAGTAGGTTAGATTTTTAAGATTTTAGATACTGAACCTCCGCCAGCAGAAGAGTCCCATAAAGAGGAAGAAGAATCCCATAAAGAGGAAGAAGAGCCGCAATATGTTGAAGAGAAACATCAAATTGAAGCAGCTTATGACCCAATGCCAGCAGAGCCAGAGCCAATGCAGTCGATGGAGCCTGTGAGTAATTCATATTACGACAATGAAGAAGCTGGAGAAAACCCTGTTCCTCAAAGAAAATACAGTTCCCCTCCAGCATCTATTTATGATGATAATACTGAAGATGGAAGAATTAGATTAAGTGATGCCGGGGAAACTCTAACAGACGCCTTTTCTGTCTCTGATCCTGTAAAGGGATCTCATGTCACATACACCGTAAGAGGGTACGATGATGATGGACCATTCGAAGGTGCAAGGAGATACAATGATTTCTTTAATCTCAGAGCAGCATTACTTACAAGATGGCCAGGAGTTTATATTCCTCCAATTTCTCCAAAGAAAGCTCTTGGTAACAAAGATGATAAGTTTTTGGATGAAAGGAAACACTTTTTGCAGAGGTTCCTCATCCTGACAAGCAAGATAGATCACATTATCAAATCAGACGAGTTCAGACTTTTCTCGAGACCTTCTGGAGAAATTGATAAAGCCGTTCAAATGCTACCTCAAGCTTCTGCTGATTTTCTTTTGGATAGATATAAGACTAAATTGAACCTTGCAGAGGAAGTAGACTCTGCAGAGGTCGCCGAGAACAGGTCAGTGATAAACGAGTGGACAGCCTTCTGTAAGACATTCATGAAGACCCTCAAACATATGAGAGACTCCATCAAGCCATTTGTAAATGATGAGGATAGGCAGAATAAGAATTATGGAGAGATGATGAACATTTTTACTAAATTTGAGCAGGGTGTTCTAATGGAATATTGCGAAAATGATACCACAAAGCATGTTGTACCAGAGTACGAAGAGAAATCGCAAGGATTACCCGATGCCATGAACAATCCGATCAGGGAATTTTTCTATTGGATAAAAGGAGAGATTTATGATCTCCAAGCTTTGAATGATTGATTTTTGGGTAGAGAAAGACTTCTAAAGAAGAAAAATAAAATAGAAAGCAAGAAAAAAAGTGACCAGTCTACACTTGATAAATTATCCCAAGGGAAGAAGACTCTTGGTACATTGTTCAAAGGAGAGAGTGGAAAGCAAGTAACCATGACAAATCTGTCAAATTCTATTGCAACTGCTGAAAGAGATCTCGAGCTTTATGAAAAGATTTTGAATATGGTGGAGAGTTATATAGCTCAAACAGTTATTCCTCAGTTCAAAGAGGACAAGACCAGATTTTACAAAATTTGAAAATTCATTAGTTCGTCCGAGATACGCAATGCCAAAATGATATCTGAGTTCTGGGAAACGCTCATTCTCAATCCAAATCTTGTGCCTGAATAAGCATTTTAGCTCAATTTTTTGTCTTGTTTAGGGGTTTTGGGGTTTTGGGGTTTTGGGGTTTTGGGG